TTGATAGAATATTTACAAGTTGAAAACTATGCAAAACGCTGTTAAAACGGTGTCATACTCTTCTCTATTATGCACTCTTGACGTTATGTATAGTAATAATATGGTAATTATTCGCTCCTGCTTTTTGCAATTTGTCGTCACACTGACAGCTGCCATTGCTGCAATGCTTTTGCTGACCGATGCAACGATGCCTTTGATAGCGGCCCGCCATCTATCGGAATTTTATTACACTAGTTTGAAGTGTTGTATTTTTGGGTTAGAAATGAACGTATGTATAGGACGTCTTGCTATGCACAAATGAATTTATCAGCAGAACACCAGACACCAGATGAGCCCTGTCGCTCTGCGGCACTTGTTTTGTTTTTGCTATGTTAGGTTAAATCTCTAAAACGAATCAAACAGTTATGGAGGTATGCAATGTGCTATTTTTTTATGTTTGATCACGATTTGTAATAATGCCCTTAATTAGTTATGATAAGATATTAAAAGTAAATAGATCCACTGCAGGTAATAGATGGTGGCACATAATGAAATTTCCTTTCCAGATTGTAGCAGTGAATGTTGAAAGCTATGATACTGCACGCAGAAAGCTTAGGCTAAGGGTCATTGGTGATTCTCCGCGGGCGGGTGAGTGTTGGTCCTGTGTCACACTTCAAAGCATATTGCGAATCAAGCCGATCTGATTACACTATCGCCAGTCTTCAGAATTTATGTATTGCATGCGGGCACATAATTTCCTCGCATTTCAATTGCCAATCCTGAGTGAGGTAAGAATGTCGCTTTGTTGTTGGGTCGTTCAAAATTTTTGGCTTTATGCACTTCGTTGCTATGCTTTGGTTTTAGAACATCCTATCGCAACAGCAATTGCCTACAGCTATTTCCACGATTGTTATACTGATCACCGCTGATTCCACAACGTTGTCAGTTGTGGAGGTCAGGAAAGCAGCAATGTCTTGAATATACCTCTGAATAGAAAACCTCATGTTCCTTGTGTAGCGACGCAAATGCAAGAGGTGCAGCTTCACATAGAGAACAAAAACCTGGAGGACCTGCTGCAGCCCCCAACCCTGCTTGACCTCTTGGACAGAATCAAGGACTTCTCGGTGTGGCCTAATGCCGGTGCTGATCTGCGCGTAACTGACGTGAAGAAGATGGAAGAAGGCGATTCTGATAGGTGCGTATTCGCGATTTTATTGTTAGCTCATCTGACGTAGTCAGATGCAGCTTGTAGAATCGCATGATCGTTCGTGCGTCCGTCTGTGCGTCTGTCTGGCCGTCCGTCCGTGCGTCAACAGTTGGGCACAAATCTTAACCGCTCGACGTACGGTCACGATATTCGGGACGTGGGGGGGTAATCCGAAAACGAGTTGGGATGTCGAAGCTGGGGGTCAAAGGTCAAAGGTCAAGGTGTGAAAACAGGGGGAACATTCCCTCTTTAACTTAAGGTATAGGGAGGAAATGCAGAATTGCGGCACAAATTTAAACGGTCTCGACTAGCTCGTGATAGTCGGTGTATAGCATCATGGTAGGAAAAGCATCACTGTGCCGAAATTGGAGGTCACAGGTCAAAGGTCAATGGGCACGAGGCAGATTTTAGACATTTCTGAGGACATGGTCTGACGGAGCGATTGAAAAACTCTTTTGTTATTCAGCGCTGCACCTAAGCATTTATTATGGCCTTTATATGCACAAGGACCATGAAATGCTATGTCTGCTTGACATGCGAAGAGTAGTGTACGGGATCACTTTTTTGACCCTCAAGGAGGAGGGTTAAACATGGATTTGTTTATCTGTTAGAAAGAATTTGACTGCCCGGCGTTGCTAGTAGGAATCTATACATCGCCTGGAGGTATGAGGCTAACAATTGTCACAGTGAAATTTCAAAAAGCTTAAAATTTGGTCGAAAAGAAGTTTATGCTCCTTTAAATCTTAATTTCTATTGGCATTCTGTACTGTCAGTGTGTTACATGTAACTTATCCACTGCAGTGGCCACTGCAGTGCAGTGGTGCGTGATGCGTATTACTGTTGTAGTTTTTGCCTGCGTTAATTAGTTACAGGTGGCAGCTCTCTATTTCAGCCTGTAGGCTTGCGTAGTAAATGGATGAGTGCTTACCTATTCTGTCTTGCAAATAGTTGTTGCTACTACGTACGATGGGAGCTTCCATCTTTAATCTTAATACACTTAAACGTACGCGCCATCTCGTGGCAACTTTTATAACGATCCCAACGAACATTCCTTTGAGAAGGTTCCTGATACCATCCCTGTGCCTTCCACTGTTTCGGCGCGTATGTGAACACATTTGGGACTAACAGGGTTTACTAGAATCCCACCACTCCACCACAGCGTCACCGCGGTAGACGTTAGATGAGCGCTGTCGCTCCGCGGCACTTGTTTTAATTAGGGTTGGATAACAGTGCTCCAGATAATTTTTGGCATTGATGAATATTTACTCACCATTTTTTTTATGTATGAGTATCGGCAAGATCCCTATGAGTACTCCTTGTTGGCAGTACTCATCATATTTTCTTAGTATGAGTATCGACCAGAATATTAACATATCTTGCCTTTACAACCGCATTAGTTTAAGAGGTACTCACACAAAACTTGACATAGTGGTTGTACACCACCAGGCCTCGAATTAAGTGACGAGAGGGGCAAGGCAATTTTTTGAGGGCATGTGAGAAATTGCCTTGAATTTTCTCTAAAATGGATGGGCACCGAGGCAATTTTAAAAGGCATCAAGGCAACTCTCACAATTTGAGAAGGGCACCAAGGCACTTTTGTAAAATAAAGGAAAACTCATAACAAATTAATACATCAACCTCTGCTAATGAAACTACAGTAACAGGGTTCAACGTACGTTAACTTTTTATTCGAAAGCATAAAAACTCTTATCCCAGTGCACCAGATAGCTTGCGTATTTGCGTAAATACGCATGAATTTCATACAAATACGCATGTAATTTTCAAAGGTATGCGTATAGATACGCTTGTGTTTTAATAAATACTTACATGAGAAAACAAACAGATCGTATCAGTACGCTAACCTTCCATCTACTCCCGTATCGGCTCGACTCTCTCGCTGGTAGCTTGGTCACGGTGCCCCACTCATTAAGTGTGTGCCCCACTCATGCCCCACTCACTCACTCTTTAAAACTAAACCATCGGGCTAGTAACTGAGGAAAACCATTAGCCCTGACCTAACTTTCACTAGCCCAGACCCAGACCATTGTTATGGGAAACTTTGTGTCATCGTATGAATTCTACTGGAATTTCTCTAAATTTACTGCACTTAGCAAGCTACACACCATACAGATCACAGCTGGCCATTCTTGCGCGAGCGTCGTTTCCCGCGCTTTAAATCGCGTGCGGGACGAGTCCACGTGCAGCATTTAAATATTCGTGTTCTACCACGTGCATACACAGGCACACGATTTATCGATCGTCTACTGGCAGCGGTTGGCAGCAAGCCACGTTTACGTTTATTGTTTTTGCCGAAGGATAGACTGGAATCCGGCCTCATGCTCTGCTACTGCTAGACAATGTACACGCTCTGCGACAAACAGTGCGGCCGCGAACCAGTCTAGCCAGAGGCACCGACGGCAATTACAGAAAAGGCCAAGGCAGGTGACTGCCGTCGGTCGGGTTGGATTTTCAGGGGCAGTACAGCGATTGATAGGGGCACCGACGGCAATTGCCGTCGGTGCTGTCGGTTAATTCGAGCCCTGTACACCACCCATAAAAACCCTGCCGTTCTTTGGGAGGTGTCCAAACTCCATGTCAGGTTACGCAGATTAAGTGACACAGGAACCAGTCACGATAGATAGTAGATAGACTGGTTCACGTACTGACACACAGCAGCCATAGCGAACTTAATGAGTGGGGCACCGTGACCAAGCTACCAGCGAGAGAGTCGAGCCGATACGGGAGTAGATGGAAGGTTAGCGTACTGATACGATCTGTTTGTTTTCTCATGTAAGTATTTATTAAAACACAAGCGTATCTATACGCATACCTTTGAAAATTACATGCGTATTTGTATGAAATTCATGCGTATTTACGCAAATACGCAAGCTATCTGGTGCACTGGGATAAGAGTTTTTATGCTTTCGAAATGTTCTCGCAAGGCTGGACTCATGTTCACACGTATGGACTGGTAGGCTGGACTGGCTCTATATGGTTCATATTCATTGTGTTGCCCTGTTAAGTTTCAACTTGCTTATTAATCTGTGCCATGAAGCTATAATGTTCGTGATATAGTTATATTCATAGGTAATAATCGGGATACAGATAGTTGGTTAGTTTGAGCAGTATACTTATTCGCTAGCTGTGGAACCTTGGGCATTAACCATATTATGATATTAAAATTATTTATATATTATTAACACAAACTACAGTGATTCGAATACGTTTGTGCAGCATTTAGAAAGATAAGTTAAAGGACAATTGAAGTCAAATTTTATAACTTCTGTAACGTTTTTATACATAGAAATACATTCAATAACGTATTCCATTTCAAATCCAGCGCCCAATTTGTAAGAAACACATGAATATTAATCTAGGTCATGTGACGTCACAGCCCCCTGTTGAAACACGCCATTATATAGCGTAACAGTGCTAACACGCTAGTATATGTTATGCTAGGTGAAAGTATTGTTACAGCATACAACAAACATGTAGCCTGTAAATGTACTTATATTCATGTACATACATATTACCTGTGTGGATAATGCATTCACGGTATATGTACATGACTAGCGTAGAGATGTTTGTACATGTACAGATACATATGTGATTCTGACTGAGCGTGATAAGCCCGGTGATCAGTGTACTCGCATGCCTCACCTGGTCTAGCGTCGAACTGGTCTACAATAACCCTGGTCTTCTCATTCTCATGGCAGCATATACATTCAGGTGCCGTACTCATTAATTCACAAACACTACAAGAACACCACTATTTGTCTACAGTCCTATCTGGTACCGAAGCTTCCATTCTGCCCTGAATTGTGACTGTTCTGCATTCTCGAGAAGTGTGTGCCGACTCTTCGTGTAGCTTTTTCAGACGATTCTCCTCAATTTCTTCTTGTGTATATTCAGGCTCAAAGTTCAAACCTATATCCAACTGGTAAATCACTATAAATACCATCATCATCTGAGTAATCACTAGAATCATTGAAATTATCGCTTTCTGCATGTCTCCATCTTATACACCACACGCACTATGTTTACATAATGGCGTGTTTCAACGGGGGGCTGTGACGTCACATGACCTAGACTAATATTCATGTGTTTCTTACTGCGAATTTGAACTGCGCGGCGCCGAGTTGAAATGGAATACAGTTATTGAATGTATTTATATGTATAAAAACGTTACAGAAGTTTAAAAATTTGACTTCAATTGTCCTTTAAGCGATTGCCATTAGGGCTGCCATATATACTCCTGAAGGAGAATACAATGTTTAAAGTCTATCGCAACAAACATCTATGCTATATATTTATCGAGAGCTAATAATACCTAAGTATTATTAGCTCTTGATGATATATACAGCATACTACTATTGACTCTTCCTGCACGCATGGATAGTGATATTAGCAATGTATTTTAAACTCGTGTGTTCTCCTCCCAGCGATCTGTTGCAATTGTGTCCAAGAGATCTTCTACTTGAGATTCTCCCACAGCGTGCGCTTGCTAGCGATGTTCACGCGACATTGCTGTTCTTTAATTCTTAATCGCACACGGCTCTCCTTTTCAGGTCATTCGAATGTGGTGGCGAGCACCGCCCCGCACTCGGCAGCCGCTGCTGGGGGTACTGAGCAGGAAGCAGCGGGAATCCTGGTGGCGAGGACGCGTGGCGGCGGAGACGGCGTGCCGGCGGGGGCCGTGTCCACGGACGGGGCATGTTTGCCACCAGAGTTCTGCTACGACTTGGTGATGCTGGAGCTGCTGTGAGCGATCATGTGATAGTGCTGGGGAGGTCGAAGGGGTGTGATTTGGGGAGGAGGTGGGGGCATGTAACGTGGAAGCGGGAATGTAGCTGCTGAGAAGGGGGATGTGTAATGCTGAGAAAGAAAGAAGAGGTGTAATGCTGGAGGAGGAAGAAGGATGTAGGCTTGGGAGATAGGGGATGTACTACTAGGGAAGAGGACGGTGTAGTGCTGGGGAGGAACGCGGTGTAATGCCTGCGAAAGAAGGTGATGTAATGCTGAGAAGAATGGATGTAATGCCTGAGAAGAAAGGTGGCATGTAATGCTGAGAAGGAAAGGTGGATGTAATGCTTGAGAAAAAGGTGGATGTAATCCTGAGAAGGAAAGGTGGATGTAATGCTGAGAAGGAAAGGTGGATGTAATGCTGAGAAGGAAAGGTGGATGTAATGCTGAGAAGGAAAGGTGGAATGTAATGCTGAGAAGGAAAGGTGGATGTATGCTGCCGAAAAGAAAGGTGGATGTAATGCCTGCGAAAGAAAGGTGGATGTAATGCTGCAGAAGGAAAGGTGGATGTAATGCTGAGAAGGAAATGGTGGATGTAATGCTGAGAAGGAAAGGTGGGATGTAATGCTGAGAAGGAAGAGGATGTACTAATGGGGATGTAATGGTGGACTGTAATGCTAGGGAGGAGGGTGTGTGTGCTGGAAGAGGAGGAGGTATGTACATTTCTAGCCAACAGACTCGAAACCGGATCTAAATTGTCACTCTGCTGGCGATGCTGCAGACAACTCTGCTGCCACTGGTGAAATGGAAACTGCGAGCAAGCAGCTGCATCGATCGCCTTAGAGGATGAAATCGCGCTTCCATCCACCGATAAGCAGGCACCCGCCCCGTGACTTCTTCTGGGTGGTGTTGCTTCACAACTGCTGGTGGTACGCATGTGCCCCGCCACTCCTGTTTGTTGTCATCTCTTTCGCGCTGCATCGTGTTCGGATTTCGAGAAGGACAGTAAAGTGACCTCTGATGGAAGCTAGGTATCTGTTTATATATATAATAGTCCGGTCTTGGATCTAACCTATTTACTTGGTGAAAAATCTGACATATTTCGTTTTGACCAAATACAGCATAAAAGCAATCTAGAGTAACCGTGATAATTACAATTAAGTACCAAAGTAATACCATGTTCGAATGTGCTCGAGGTGTGAGTATCGTGTTTGGGTATCACTACCATGACTTTTAGCATTACAGCACTGTGCGTGTCAGGTCCTTTGTTAGCAGCGTCTGCCATTGCACAAGATGATCATATGGGCTAGATATTAACTGATTGTTATCGATGCATTTTTAGCTCATCTGACATAGTCAGATGTCAGCTTGTAGAATGCCATGATCGTCCGTGTGTCCGTTCCGTCCATCTGTTCAACAGATTGGCCACAAATCTGAACCGCTCGACGTACGGTCACGATATTCGGCACATCGGGGGGGATCGTCAAACGAGTTGGAATGTCGAAGCTGGGGTCAAAGGTCAAAGGTCAAGAGGTGTAAAAGAAGGGGGAACATTCACTCTCTAACTTAAGGTATAGGGAGGAAATGCAGAATTGCGGCCCAAATCTAAACGGCTCGACCTAGGCTCGTGATAGTCGGTATAGCATCATGGTAGAAAAGCCATCACTGTGCCGAAATGGAGTCACAGGGTCAAAGGTCAATGGGCACCGGCAGATTTTAGACATTTTCTGAGGACATGTCTGACGGAGCGATTGAAGAACTTTTTTGTTTCAGCGGTGACCTAGCATTTTATGGCTGTATTGAAAGGACATGAAATGTACCTTCTGCTGACATGCGCGAAGAGTTAGTGTCGGATAACCTTTTGACCCTCAAGAGGAGGGTTAAACATGGATTTGTTTACTGTCTGTTAGAAAGAATTTGACTGCCGGGTTTGCTAGTAGAATCTATACATGCCTGGATGTATGAGGCTACAATGTCACAGTGAAATTTCAAAAGCTAAATTTGGTTGAAGAATGTTTATGCTCCTTAAATCGTATAATTTCTATGGCATTCTGTACTGTCAGTATGTTACATGTAACGTATGCCACTGCCAGTGCATGTGGTGGTGGTACTGCTGTAGTTTTTGCCTGCATTAATTGGTTACAGGTGGCTGCTCTCTATTGCAGCCTGTAGGCTTGCGTAGGTAAATGGATGAGTGCTTACCTATTCTGTTCTGCAAATAGTTGTTGCTACTACTACGATGGAGCTTCCATCTTTAATCTGAAGACACTTAAACGTACGCGCCATCTCGTGGCAACTTTCATAACGATCCCAACGAACATTCCTTTGAGAAGGTTCCTGATACCATCCCTGTGCATTCCACTTTTCGGCGTGTTGTGAACACATTTGGGACTAACAGGGTTTACTGAATCCCACCACTCCACCACAGAGTCACCGCAGTAGAACGTTAGACGTTAGATGAGCGCTGTCACTCCGCGGCACTTGTTCTATTTTACCCTGGTTAAAAACAGTGCATTTTGTTTATTCAATTTAGTCAGGTTTTGTTATGTAGTTTCATGTCTTTGACCAAGTGTGTACATCTATGATATACTGTTGTCATTCTTTGTCTTTCCAGAGAGAAGAGAAACAGAAAAACCACTGAGTAAGTTTCTATTGAAGCTGCTTGGTTTCTACATGAGAATATGACTGTGTGCATCTACATATTTTTCAGTGTGTGAAAAAACTGTGAAACTGCGAAGGAATATAAGTAAATTAACAAGTAGACAAACACCAACAATGAGCTGATATTTCTGTGTACCTTCATCTTAAAAAAGTAGTAAAGAAATAGTCTATATATGCAATACATATCCATTTCAATACGAATGTTATTTTTTCAAGTTGATTATAATAATTTACCTACTGTCGATTTTTGTAGCTTTTTAGCTCATCTGACATAGTCAGATGCAGCTTGTAGAATCGCCGATCGGTCCGCCGTCCGTCCTTCGTCCTTCGTCCTTCCGTCCGTCGCGTGCGTGCGTGCCGTCCGTCCATCAACAGTTGGGCACAAATCTTAACCGCTCGACGTACGGTCACGATATTCGGCACATCGGGGGGGATCGTCAAAACGAGGTGGGATGTCGAGCTGTGGGTCAAAGGTCAAGGTCAAGAGGTGTAAAAGAAGGGTGAACATTCACTCCTTAACTTAAGGTATAGGGAGGAAATGCAGAATTGCGGCACAAATCTAAACGGCTCGACTAGGCTCGTGATAGTCGGTGTATAGCATCATGGTAGGAAAGCCATCACTTGCCGAAATTGGAGGTCACAGGTCAAAGGTCAATGGGCACAGGGCAGATTTTGACATTTTCTGAGGACATGGTCTGACGGAGCTATGAAAAACTTTTTTGTTTCAGGGTGACCTAGCATTTTTATGTGTTATTGAAAGGACCATGAAATGTCCCTTCTGCTGACATGCGAGAGTAAGTGTCGCGATAACCTTTTGACGCTCAAGGAGGCAGGGTTAAACATGGATTTGTTTACTGTCGTTAAGAAGAATTTGACTGCCGGGTTTGCTAGTAGAATCTATACATGCCTGGATGTACGAGGCTACAATGTCACAGTGAAATTGCAAAAGCTAAATTTGTTTGAAGAAGGTTTATGCTCCTTAAATCCTATAATTTCTATGGCATTCTGTACTGTCAGTATTTTACATGTAACGTATGCCACTGCCAGTGGCCACTGCAGTGCATGTGTTGGTGGCTGTGTAGTTTTTGCCTGTGTTAATTAGTTACAGGTGGCACGCTCTCTATTGCAGCCTGTAGGCTGCGTAGGTAAATGGATGAGTGCTTACCTATTCGTCTGCAAATAGTTTTTGCTACTACATACGATGGGAGCTTCATCTTTAATCTGAAAGACACTTAACGTACGCGCCATCTGTCGTGCAACTTTCATAACGATCCCAACAAACATTCCTTTGAGAAGGTTCCTGATACCATCCCTGTGGCATTCCACTGTTTCGGCGTGTATGTGAACACATTTGGGACTAACAGGGTTTACTAAATCCCACCCACTTCCAACCACAGAGTCACCGCAGTAGACGTTAGATGAGCGCTGTCGCTCCGCGGCACTTGTTATTACTAAACAGCCTTTTCAAAATTCTACTGTCAAAATACTGATTAGCCAAAGCTATCTGTTAATCACTCTAGACGGATAGGTCATTAATGTGTCAGTGTCACGTAATGAGTAGTGTATATCAACATTGTCTTTAAACTTAATTATAACGGTTATGTGTCTATCATTTAATAAGCCACATTGAATAATAAAGTTATTTTTTAATGTTGTTTGTTTATGTGTCTATATTATGTAATGAGCGGTGTCATATTAACGGCTTGGCAGGGAGGACCTGCAGCATTACAAGAACATCAATCGGACATCAGATTCGCTACGTTACGCCGCTGACCACAGAGACACACCGCGGCCACTGACGACGAGTCCAGGTGTTCCTGTTCAACCTGCCAGGTACGTGAACTCGTCTTACACACAGGTAACAAAGGTAACGTCACAGTCAAAATTATGTACGATAGTCCTCATTGAAAACTCCAAAGGTTATCTTTTGTAGGCAGGTATTCATTCTGTAGATCAGTAGATGTCATTTCACTGTGTGACTGCCACTCGAGGAAAATGTGAAAATTCTCCGTTGTGGAAATTGCCAAAAGTGCCCTTTGTGGACAGGTGTTCATTCGTCAGAGGTGACCGCTAGCACTTGTTCGAGTGTACTCTTAATTGCTCCTGAAAAAGATTTTGCTTCTAGTTTCAGGAATGATGGTTTGAACGCTGGGTCTGCACCACCTCCTTATCAAGGATCTATCGGAACAAGGTTTGCTATGCTCTGCTCCCTGTAAACTTGTGCATGGGTTGAAAGCCTCGATGGTATTTTTAAGTACACGGAGTTTGAATTTCACATCTTATTCAATTAAAACTGAATGTTTATTGTTCTTGCAAATCTATAGTCCAAATGTCTGAGGAATGCAATCAATTTACATTGAGAAAAGTGCCTGTAGATAGTGGGAAGCCTGCCTGTTTTATATTATTGTGCAAACACAGATGAAACGTGTTTAAAAAAAAAATTCAGTTATGAAATAATGAAGTTAGGATCGTAAGTGCGTGGCCCTCATATGTATGAGTAGTATGTCTGACCCCTTGTATAATGTTGCTAAGTCTGTTGAGTTAGACCAGACTATACATGTGTTCCATGCATGCATGCTGCATTATCAATATCAACGTTGTGGCACTTCATTGGCAAGTGTTGTCTTTTAGTACGTTCTATCACATGGTTTGCTAGAACCATCTGTCAATCATGCCACACAGATAGGTAGAGTCTTTTGCGAATTGCAAATTAAAAAACGAACTATTTGCATTATGCCAACATAGGACAAACGCTCTCTCTCTCTCTCTCTTTCTATCCTCTTGGTCCCCTAATGGGACATAAGGCCGTAATAGGGGTAACTACATCCTACTTCTTCGTTTCAGTGAAACTCTGCCTCTGACAAGAAACACAGATTCCCGACATTACTAGTTGATTGATATGGAGTCATGGCCAGCATGACAGTATTTGTACCTCACCACCGCTGAAAGTGCCTGAGGATCGTACGAGCGATTCTGTCTATCTGTGGCCGTCTGTGGTTGAATGCCAACATGTATAGAAGTAGCCACAGGCTCTACAACGCGTGGTTTCTACCCAGGCCCCCTGTTCAGTTCTATGTGTAAACATAGCAGCTGTTAGTTGTCGGCGACTAAACGCTGCTTTCACTTTGGCATATTTTTGTACTAGTGTTTATTGTGAAGTGCGACTGTAAGGTTTGTCACTGATCTGAGATGGAAACGGGATGTCCGTTCTAGCGTGGCATGCACCGGTGACGTTTCTTTAGCAGACATTAAACTGCGCCGGGTGTGTTACTAGATTAATCGTAGCGCATTGTTATGATTACTAACTCTAGTCGAATTTATTATTATTGCAGAAAAGACGGTTGCGAGTGGCCTTTCTTGAGTGCCACGCGTACGTGACACATCATCGTGTTTTATCGTGTCAACTTCTCGTCATACCGATTTTATACATTGAATGTACATTCTGTACTAATTTCTATACCCCGTGCGACAAGTTCCGTACAATAGATCATAAATTAGTGCAGAGTGAGAGTACCGCTGCTAATGTACCAATACCGAAACTGCGATGTTGCAACTGGTGCAGTGTGTGTATGCAGAAATCCCCTACATTAGCATCGTCATCTTGTCTGTAGCTGGTGTGAGCACTTTCCTAACTGCATAGTATTCGTGGGTTAAAATAACCTCACTTGCTTCTGGTGATTTTAGCTTGGTCTTGTTGATGGCCCCAGGCAGTGCTGCAAAGTTGGGCACTGTCTTGTATTTATTTAGATGTATGTTACTCACTTATTAGTGACAATCAAAATTTTAGATTTTATATCTGTACTAATATATATCTATATACGTACATATACCCGTTTATATTCTAGTCACCGATGCTCGCATGCTGTGACTAATAGAGAAGGCCTTGCATGTTTGCTAGCATTGAAACAAGAAGCTTTATTAATAAGTAACTTTTTCTGTCATACTTAGATTGAACTGTCTGTTAAATGATAAAGGTTACTTGTTATAGGGTAATATAATTATGTTTAAAATATTATTTTGTTAATATTCGTTAAATGTATCATAATCAACTAATGTTCAGATTGTAGGGATATTTTATATAAGCATTCTATCTTAGCATGGGTAATTTCTAGGGTCCCTATATACAGAGAGTTGCGCCAACTCAGGATTTGACGCCATGTTGTTTCCAAATGGATCAACACCGCTGCCGCTTAAGTACAGCGCTGTATGGATACGCTGTACAATGGTCCGTAGTAATTAATTAGACTAATCGTGCTTCAATAAACTCAAAAATTACAGATTATAGCTAAGACATGTGTCTATGTGTAGCTAGATTTATAGAAATGTAACTCAAATCGTTCGTGCCATATGATAGTACACTTTCTTACCGCCCAATAGCCGTGCGTATATTAGCCTGTGCGATACCGCGCAACTGTAATTCACAAGATAAATGCGTTTTAGACTAATATTCATGTGTTTCTTACTGCGAATTTGAACTGCGGGCGCCGGATTTGAAATGGAATACGTTATTGAATGTATTTATATGTATAAAAACGTTACAGAAGTTATAAAATTTGACTTCAATTGTCCTTTAAGCATTGCCATTAGGGCTATATATACTCCTGGAAGGAGAATACAAGTTTAAAGTCTATCGCACAAACATCTATGCTATATATGATATCGAGAGCTAATAATACCTAAGGTATTATTAGCTCTTGATGATATATACATGCATACTACTTTGACTCTTCCTGCACGCATGGATAGTGATATTATGCAATGTATTTTAAACTCGTGTGTTCTCCTCCCAGCGATCTGTTGCGATTGTGTCCAAGAGATCTTCTACTTGAGATTCTCCCACAGCGTGCGTTGCTAGCGATGTTCACGCGACATCGTATCTTTAATTCTTAATCGCACACGGCTCTCCTTGCAGCGTCATTCTGAAGGTGGCGAGCACCGCCCCGCACTCGGCAGCGCTGCTGGGGGTACTGAGCAGGAAGCAGCGGGAATCCTGGTGCGAGGACGGTGGCGGCGGAGACGGCGTGCCGGCGGGGGCCGTGTCCACGGACGCGGTGTTTGCACCAGAGTTCCTCATCGACTGGTGCATGCTGGAGCTGGTGAGCGATCATGTGATAGTGCTGGGGAGGTCGAAGGGTGTGATTTGGGGAGGAGGTGGGGGCATGTAACGTGGAAGGGGGAATGTAGTGCTGAGAAGGGGGGATGTAATGCTGAGAAAGAAAGAAGGGGGTGTAATGCTGAGGAGGAAGAAGGATGTAGGCTTGGGAGATAGGGGATGTACTACTAGGGAAGAGGACGGTGTAGTGCTGGGGAGGAACGCGGTGTAATGCTGCGAAAGAAAGGTGGATGTAATGCTGAGAAGGAAAGGTGGATGTAATGCTGAGAAGGAAAGAGGATGTACTAATTGGGGAATGTAATGGTGGATGTAATGCTAGGGAGGAGGGTGGTGTGGTGCTGGAGAGGAGGGTGGTGTAATGCTAGAGAGGAGGAGGTATGTACATTTCTAGCAACAGACTCGAAACCGGATCTAAATTGTCACTCTGCTGTCGATGCTGCAGACAACTCTGCTGCCACCTGGTGAAATGGAAACTGCGAGCAAGCAGCTGCATCCGATCGCCTTAGAGGATGAAATTGGCTTCCATCCACCGATAAGCAGGCACCCGCCCCGTGACTTCTTCTGGGTGGTGTTCCTAACGCTGGTGGTACCATGTGCCGCACTCCTGTTTGTTGTCATCTCTTTCGCCTGCATCGTGTTCGGATTTCGAGAAGGACAGTAAGTTACCTCTGGTGGAAGCTAGGTATCTGTTTATAGTCCTGTCTTGGGATCTAACCTATTTACTTGGTGAAAAATCTGACATATTTCGTTTTTACCAAATACAGGCATAAAAGCAATCTAGAGTAACCCGTGACATATTCACAATTAAAGTACCAAGTAATTACCATTTCAATGTCTCGATATGTTTTGGGTATCACTACCATGACTTTAAATTACAGGCACTGTCGTGTCAGTCTTTAGCAGCGTCTGCCATTGCACAAGATGACTCATATGGGCCTAGATATTAACTGATTGCTATCGATGACTTTTTAGCTCATCTGACATAGTCAGATGCAGCTTGTAGAATCGCATGATCGTCCGTTGTGCAGCAGCAGCGTTCTCGCGACCGCCACGTTCTCCTGCTCGCACGCCCTCTGGAGAGGCGACAGGGCATCGCCAACGCCTCCCGTCGGGTTCGCACCACTCTCGCAGAGCAGCCGCACGACCTTGACCGACCCTTTGAGGCATGCTGCGTCGAGGCATCCGCTGGTGTTGGGGTCGACACCGCGAGACAGCAGCACCCTCACAGCGCCAACGTTGTCTGCCGTGCAGGCGGCGAGCAGCGGTGTCGCCCCCTCGCGGCCGCGTCGGTGCGGGTTGGCGCCGGCTTGCAGCAGCATCTCGACGATGGCCGGGGTTGCGGTGGCGCACGCCACGTCAAACGTTGTGCTGCCCACGTGTTCTATGGCGACAAAGTCAGGGTCGCAGCCATGGTCCAGCAGCAGCCGCACTAGCTCCTCATTGTTCGCGTGGCAGGCTATGTCCAGCGGCCGCCTCCAGTCGCCACCTGCTGGAGAGGGGGAAAATGATACCCGTGATTCACTGAACATCTATGCGTACAACTTTTAGTAGAAAACAGGTGGAAATAGTCAATCGTTATTAGAAATGCGAGTGTCGATATTTGATATGCTTTATCAGGGAGTAGAATAACAAAAACATATAAAACATGATTAAAGCTAGTGGAGAGAAAGGGCGTCAGTTGTTGATCCAGACATATTCAGATACTTCTTCTTCTTCTTCAGCCTTGGGTCGAATCATCATCCCTTGTCCATCGCTGGACGTAAGCCTTTTCCAGCTGCTGCCATATGCTCCGGTCTTGTGCTCTTCTCTGCCATCTTGATTCACATTTGTCAAGGTCGTCCCGCCATCAGGTCTTTTGACGGCCATGACCATTGTACAGCGTATCCATACAGCGCTGTACTTAAGCGGCAGCGGTGTGGATCCATTTGGAAACGACATGCCGGCAGCGATCACGTGACCGATTTTTTCCGACTCGTCATGGCGCAACTCTCTGTATACAGGGACCCTAGTAATTTCTACATGATAGCGCCATCTATTGGCGTTCACGTAAAGTTCTGGAATAATTTTCGTCAACTATGGTGCGAATTATCTTCTATAACAGTTGTGGACGAGTTGAATCCGTAGCCATTCATTAACTGCCATCTCGCTATACATCAGTACATGCGTTACCTTTTGAAACAAAACAATAAAGTAAAACTTACTCATGATGTAGACACGGTAGATTCACGGTTACCTCAGAATGCTATTTGAAATAGTAGTATGTATTTCTGTAAGTGTATAATTGTATGTCATTTTTAAATGTTAGTTATAATAAAAACCAAGATTTGCTCTGTACCAACGTGTTTTCTTTACACTATGATCATGTATTTACATTAATGCCACTATTGTTCCAATCAATAATTCCATCATTCCAATCATTAATCCCATTATCATTCCAATCGTTAATTACATTATTGTTCCGATCAATAATGCCATCATTCCAATCGTTGCAATCAAGAATTACATTACCATACCAATCATTAATTCCATTAATTGTTTCAATCATTTATTCCATTATCGTTCCAATTATTAATTCTATCATGGCGCTAGGAGTCGTCGTTCCAGAAGTCGACCCAGTCTTCATCGTCGTCGTTGTCGTCGTCATAGCGATGGTCGCCCGCTCCCCGCCCGTCGTCACCGCAGTGTTGCTCGACGAACTCTCTCACGGCGGGCGGCAGCGCGTCGCGGTACGGCACGCCGCATCGCAGCACCGTCGTCGCGCACAGACACGCGAGGCTGCTCGTCATCTCTGCGCACCGCACCAGATGCTGCGTCGCCGGCGACTTGTGCGGCGCGCACAACTCCCGCGCCGTGCGCCCGCGCGCATTGCGAGCGTCCGCGTGCGCTCCGTGCGCTAGCAGCAGCGCCGCCATTTCGTGCGTGACCGCGTCGCCGCCGGCTGTGCAGTACTGCATCACCGCGTGCAGAGGCGCGTTGCCGTGGCGATCGGCCACGTCGGCACGGCAACCGTGCTCGAGCAGCAAGCGGAGGCTTCGCGGGAGGTCGTGGAAGTCGTGGTAGACAAGCGCGTGCAGAGCCGTGCAGCCGTGCCCGTCCCGCGTTGCGGCGAGCGCGCGGAGGCAGCGCCGCAGCCGGGGGTCGCCCGCATCTCGGTGATCGGCGACAGCGTCGGCGACAGTGCACATGCATACGAGCGTGTGCGGTGTAGGTGTGTTGCCGTGGCAACGCCGTGTCAACGTGAGGACGTCGTGCAGGAGCTGGAGAATCTCGTCGTCGAGGTCTCGCCTCGGCCGCATGGAGTAGGTCGCCGCCTCCGCCGCCGCCTCCGCTGCGCCACTGGCTGTCGCTCGCTCCCGCGCACCGTGAGCGAGCGCAAGCCTCACCCTTGCTCGCCACAGCAGCAGCATGAGGCGCGGCGCGTCGTCGTCCGCCACCGCCATCCACGTCGTCCCCTGCAGCATCATGAGCATGTCGTCGAGCGGCGCGGCAAGCAGCGCGCTCTGGTGGCCAAGGACGCGTGACATCGCGAGGTACGCCTCGTGGCAGCGCGCCATCTTTCCGCCGCCGCGCCGCAGCGCCTCGACGTCGGCGACAGAGGGCGCCGGCGTGCCGCACTGCCCGACGGCGGTGGCGGCGGCGAGCCCGTCCCGCAGTCGCGCCGCCGTCGTCGCGTGTCGGAAGAACGCGTCCGCGTCCTGCCAGAGGGCGCCGGCAAGCAGCAGGTGGGCGTCGGCATTCTCGGCGTCCGTGTAGCGGTCCCGCAGCAGCGCCACCACGTCCACCCGGCCCACGTACGCGGCGCACGCGAGCGGAGTGAGGCCGCGCTCGTCGCGCCGCGAGAACGCAGCTGCGTCGCGCGCTCGGACCGCGGAGAGCACTGCCGCGGAGACGGGCAGCGGCAGCTTGCCGCACGCGACGTGGAGACACGTGTCCGGCCGCCGCAGCACGCGCTGCACATCGTCGTCGCCAGGTGGCGCCGCGCCGCTCGCAGCGTCGCCGCCGCCGAGCAACGCTGCATCGTCTGTAACGTCGCCACCAGGTGGTGTCACATTGCTTGCAGAGTCAGTATCGCCACCTGGTGGCACCACGTGGCTCACAGTATTGCCACCAGGTGGTGCTGCAATGCTTGCAGTATTGCCACCAGGTGGCGACTCGTCATGCACGGCGGCACCGTGCGCGATGAGAAGGCAGACGGCCGTTAGCCGGTTGATGTCAGCGGGGGTCCCCTCTGCCTCATCCCACGCCTCATCCCATGTGACCCCGCACGCGTCACCGATGTCAGCAGGGGTCCCCTCTTCCTCATCCCACGCCTCATCCCATGCGACCCTGGGTGTGTCGCCGTTGTCAGCGGGGGTCTCCTCTTCCTCATTCAGCGCCTCATCCTGTGCCTCATTCCACGCGATCCCGCGTCCGTCGCCGTTGCAGCGCGGGCGGGCCACCGCAGCATCTAGCGGTGTGTGGCCGGTGTGGTCCAGCGCCTCGATGTCCGCGCCCGCCCGCAGCAGCAGCACCACCACCGCAGCGTAGCGCTCGCTCGCCATGCCGCGAAAGCGCGCGTCCCCCACAATGAAGTGCAGCAGCGTGTCGCGTGTCGCCTTCCAGTAGATGGCGCCGGCGGCGCGCACGGCCTTGACCAGCTCTTCGTTGCCGTCGTCGCTGCCGGCCGGGGGCACCACCGAGAAGATGAATCGCAGGATGCAGCGGACGGCCGCGATAACGACGTCGGGCGGGACATTGGAGAGGCAGTTGCTTAGCAATGTGGTGGCTTCTTGTCGCCACGCAGGCGAAACCTCGTTGCACGACGCGCGCGCGAACCAAGCGAGACACTCATAGGCGCCGGCGGCGGCGGTGTCTGTTTCTCCATGCTCCTGCTTCGCCAGCAGGTGGAGCCTGTAACGCCACAACGAGGGCGCGACGGCGACGTCGGCACAATCGCTCGCGGTTTTGGCATAGGACAGCAGTTCAGGCTCACGCTCGTCCAGCGTGCGCGCCATGATGGCGAGCACCTCCGCATGCAGCGGCACAAACTCGTCCCGCCGCCACCGCCGCAGCCGCCGCAGCTCTGACAGGTTTGCGCACTCCTTGTGACCCCCGACGCTCAGCTGACGCTTCGACAGCGCCACCCGGCGGCCGACGTAACGGCGCCTCATGCCGCGCTCGAGCAACTTAAACGCACGCTCTTCGTCGTCGCTCCACAGCGTCGCGGCGAGCAGCTCGAGCGCGTCTGCCGCGTCCGCCGGCGCGCAGTCCGCACGCTCCACCAGGAGGTCGACGACGTTGTAGTGGCCCTCCGCCGCCGCGCACAGCAGCGGTGTCTTCCCGAGGCGCTCCCTGGTGGCGAGCAGCTTCGGCGCGTCGTCGTCGGCGATGATGGCGGCGACGAGATCCGTGTCGTCTGTGTGCTCGCAGGCGAGGTGCAGCGCGGATTTTCCGTCGACGTTCGTCGCTGCGAGGTCGGGACGTTGCCGTGGCGACAGCAGGGTGGGAACAAAGTCGGGACGTTGCCGTGGCGACAGCAGGATGCGGACAATGTCGCGGCAGCCCGTCTGGCATGCACAGCTCAGCGGCGTGTTGCCGAGGCGGTTTCGCGCGTGCATGTCGGCGCCATGGCGTAGCAGCGCCGCAAGCGTGTAGCGCCCCCGCCTGAGACGCGACGCGCAGACGATGTGCAACGGCGCGTTACCTGTCGCGTCGCGCGCGTTAACGTCGACGCCGTTACCGGGGG